CATGATGGGAAGTCTGTTTCCCACCCCTAGAAGAGAGGCATGATGGGAAGTCTGTTTCCCACCCTTAGAAGAGAAACATGATGGGAAGTCTGTTTCCCCACCCCTAGAAGAGAGGCATGATGGGAAGTCTGTTTCCCACCCTTAGAAGAGAAACATGATGGGAAGTCTGTTTCCCCACCCCTAGAAGGGAGGCATGATGGGAAGTCTGTTTCCCCACCCCTAGAAGAGAAGCATGATGGGAAGTGTGCCCCACCCTCCACTAGAAGAGATGCATGATTAGAGGTCTGTTTTCCCATCCCTAGAAGAAGAGCATGATGGGAACTCTCTTCCCTCCATCCCTCAGAAGAGGAGCATGATGGGAATTCTGTTTCCCCACTCCTTGAAGAGGAATTCTGTTTCCCTGCCCCTCAAAGAAGAGAATGATGGGAACTCTGTCCCCGCTCACCCCAGAAAAGGAGCATGATGGGAATTCAGTTTCCCCGCCCCTAGAAGAAGAGCATGATGGGAGCTTTGCCCCCCCCCCCCCCCCCCCCCCCCCCCCCCCCCCCCCCCCCCCCCCCCCCCCCCCCCCTAGAAGAGGTGCATGATGGGTAGGAGCTACCTGCCCCAGGGAGCCACAGCATCACTGGGAAAGACAGACATTAAAGAGTATCCCTGTGATGAGCTATAGGGCACGTGGACACCAATTTCAAGAGCAAATGCAGCCACCGTTTTCCTCCTCTGGTTCTCCCCATCTCCCTCCAGGGCCCGCTTCCTGGCTTCTATCCCAGCCTCCCGGTGTGCGCCCTTTCTGGTCAGCCTGGGAAAGAGTCGACTGGACTCCCTGGTTTCAGATTCCCACAAAAGGGATTTGGTCCTCCGGAAAGTACAGCAGTGCCTGGTGAGGAACCTTTCTGGGTCACACTTCACTGGTGTCCCTCTTCTCTGGGTGTCTGTGGTCATCTTGGGAAGACCCTGTGGGGATCTGGCTGGGATCTTGAGCCTCCTGTGATGGCTGGAAGTCTGATTGTGGGTCCCAGAGCTGACTCTGGGAGAACAGAGTTGCTGGTTGGAACAATCTTGGTGAATGGTTCTGGAGACACCTGTCCCAGGGCCTGAATGAAGGGAGGTCGCACTGGAGGACTGGAAAAAGCAGAGTCTACAGAGTTTGGGTTCTAGACATGCCTCTGCCAGCTATTGGTTTTAGGCACATCACTTCCCCTCCCTGAACCTTGGTTTCCTCATCTGTAAGGTGGGTATAATAGCACATCTCTCAGGGCTTTCTGAAGGGTGTGAAATGGAAGGGTATGAAATGGGCACTGCATTTTTTTATTCTAGAATTTTTATTGATTCTTTTTAGTTATACATAACATTAAGATTCATTTTTTTTGAGAGAGAGAGAGAGAAAGAGAGAGAATATTTTAATATTTATTTTTTAGTTTTCGGGGGACACAACATCTTTGTATGTGGTGCTGAGGATCGAACCCGGGCTGCACGCATGCCAGGCGAGCGCACTACTGCTTGAGCCACATCCCCAGCCCACATTAAGATTAATTTTGACATATTTATAAAAGTATGGAATATAATTTGTTCTAATTCAGTCCCCAGTACTTTCTCTTTCCCTCCTGTCCTCCCTCCCCTGTTCCCTTCCCTTTACTAATCTTTCTGCTGTTTACTTAGTTTTTTTAAAAAATTATAGTCTTGTGGATGTACATGATGGTGAGGTTCACTGTGGTATATTCATGTATATATATATATATGAAATTTGAAATTTCTCTACCTCATCCTTCTTCCTTTCTCTTCATTCCCCTTATCTTTCTTCTATTTTTTTTATTCTTCCTTATTTTGGATTAGCTTCTGCATAATAGTGGAAACATTGGACCTTTGACTTTTTGGGATTGGCTTATTTCACTTAGCATGATAGTCTACAATTCCATCCATTTACCAGGCATATACCATAATATCATTCTTCTTTATGGCTCAATAGTAYTCCATTGTGTATATGTACCACATTTTCTTTATCCATTTGTCTGTCAAGGGCATGTAGCTTAGTTTCATAGCTTGGCTATTGTGAATTGTGGGCACTGAACTATTGAATGCACAGGGCCTAAGACCAAAACTGACAGTTTCTTTATGTTTAAAATATGGGCTATGTTAGTGCTTTTCTCTTATAGTTATTATGAAAGTGAAATGGATTAAAATTTGTAGATGTTTAGAACAGTGCCTAGCACATAGTAAATGAGTAATAAATGTTAGCTATTTTTATCATTTTGAGGAGGAGCTTGGAAAGCATTCAAGTGCCCTGCAAGCTTTGCAGTGCTGATTTTCTTGTTATATACTATTATTATAATGGTTGTTGGACTGAGCAGTAACAATGACAACAGCCCTCATTTGCTGAGTGCTCAGGAGGCACCAGGCTGGGGTTTCCCAGACTTCTGAGGCTGCCTCCCTGGGGGGAAATCAGGTCCTGCTCCATCGTTGGAGGTCCATGGCAGGGTGGGTGATTCATCCTGGAATCTTGAAGAGGTTTGGAACTGGGAGTGTTTTTCAGGGATCATGACCTTGAGCCCTGCTGGATCTCCCAGAAGTCCCACTGGTTGCTTTCAGGATGATTCCATTGCTGATGAGTACACCGTGGACGTCGTGGGGAATCTGCTGTGTCATTTGCCAGCGACCATCATTGAAAGAGGCATCTCCCCCGGGGTCTGGGCTGCGGCTCTGCAGGGCCTCAGAGACTGCCCAGACCTCAGCCCTGAGCAGAAGGCCGCGGTGAGGCTCAGGCTGCTGGAACAGTGCGGGTGAGAGGGGCAGGGGCTGGGCTTTGGGGGGAAGTTGTTCTGGGTGAAGGGACACCAGTGTTGCCTCTCAAAGGAGATAGGTTCTAGTTAGGATGAGGTCAGATGTGCTATTAGGATAGTTTTGGAAGTGTGACCTTTCTTCTTTTGGCTTTGGGGTCCCTRTGAAGCGGGAACAATTTTATCCACCCTGCAGGCTTGCATGGGTGAAAGTGACTCAGCTTGGCATGTGGAAGGGACAGTTTTGAAAAGATGGCCCTTGAAAATACAAAATGTTGGTATCATGATTTTAAAGACTATTTTTTTKGGGGGGGGTACTGAGGATTGAATCCGGGGGTGCTCAACCATTAAGCCACACCCCCAGCCCTTTTAAAAAATATTTTTATTATAAGACACTGAGTTGCTTAGGGCCTTGCTAAGTTGCTGAGGCTAGTTTTGAATGTGATCCTCCTGCCTCGGCCTCCCAAGCCACCGGGATTATAGGTGGCTTTAAAGACATATTTTAAAGAGTAGTTTTAGGTTTACAGCAAAATTGAGAGGAAGGTATAGAGATTTCTTATACATCACTTATACAGTCCTGTAGCTTCCCCATTGTTAATATCTCCATTTGGAGCGGCACATTTATTACAGTTGAAGAATTCTCATAGACATCACAATGTTGTCACTAACACCAATATCCACAGATACATTAGGGCTCATTCTTGGGGTTGGGCATTCCCTGGTTTTGGGCTAATGTATAATGACATGATAGTGTCACACAGAGTGTTTTCATTGTCCTGAAAATCCTCTGTTCCACCTACTCATTCCTTCCTTCCCCTCCTCCCTGGTCATCACGGATGGCTTTTCCAGAATGTCATATAGTTGAATCATATGGCCTATCCAGATTGGCTTCTTTCACTTAATAACATGCAGTTAAGGCTCTTCCATGTCTTTTCATGGCCTGGCAGCCTTTTTAGCATTGAATTATATTCCATTGTCTGGATGCGCCACAGTTTATTTATCCATTTGACTACTGAAGGGCATCTTGGCTGCTTCTGAATATTGGCCATTATAAATAAAGCTGCTATAAACATTCATGTGCAGATTGTGTGGTATGTGTGTGTGTGTGTGTGTGTGTGTGTGTGTGTGTGTGTAAACAAGTTTTCAGCTCCTTTGGGTAAATACTAAAGTGTATAATTGCTGGATCATATTGTTAATTTTGTAGGAAACCATCAAACTATCTTTTAAAGTGGCTATACCATTTTGCATTCAATGAAAGAGATGAAAGAGAGTTCCTGTTTCTCCACATTATTGTTATTTTTGTAATAATAATAATTACCATTACCTCCAGGTGTGTGAGAACTCCCTGGAGGAAAACAGAGCTCTGCTTTGCCGTGGAGAGCTTTCTGAGGGAGGTCAGACATTTGAGTGGGATGCAGCTGTCAGTCAATGCTGAGATGACGAATGCTCTTTTGAGTAACTGTGTCGTGGGTATTGTACTGTTATGTAGAGTTTAACACCAAGGACTCAGGAGCCAGAATATTTGTTAAAATTTTGCTTCTACCATATACTGTTCATGTGGCCTGGGAAAACCTCATCTTTCTGCAGTTTAATTTTCACATTTGTAGAATGGGGATAGTTATAGTCCCTGTACGGTGGTTGTGATGATGAAGTGAGTTAATATAGTTAAAGAACTTCCAGTAGTGTGGGGCACGCAAGTGCTGTGACCACCGTTTTACTACCAGGACTAAGGGAATAGCTGCTGTTAGGACAGGTGCAGGTCTTGCTTTCATGGGGCTTATGGTCTAATGGGATAATATTTTTATTTTTTTCCATGGTGCTGGGGTTTGAACCCAGGGCCTTGTGCATGCGAGGCAAGCACTCTACCAACTGAGCTGTATCCCCAGCCCCTAGTGGGATATTTTTATCAAAGAAATAGGGACTCATTAAGGGGTGTTTAGCCTTGATGCTAGAGGGACCCTCACTGCTAATTGGGTAGATCTCCTTAGATATAATGTAGCACACTTCATGGTAGACATTTTTGCCTCTTTGAGAACAATAGTAGATTCTGGGTCTGTTCAGTTATCCTGTCAAATTCAAAAGAAATTATTTTCTTACTGTAAGATAAAACTCTTTCGTGACCTGTGGTTATAGCTCAGTGGTAGAGCACTTTTCTAGCATGCAAAARGCACTGGGTTCAATCTCTAGCACCATAAGAACAAAAGAGGCGGTTACAATAATATGAAAAGAACAACAATATCATTACACTTCTTTGAGAAGGGGGAGGAAGGACACATGGTGATATAAGTGACAGAAACTCAATGATTCAATTCAAACTAAAAAAAGTGGGAATTTGTTGAGTTCAGAGATGGAATGTAATGAGAAAGTCTAGGGGTGGACTTCAGGCATGACTGGATTGGAATCTGTTCCTCCCATTCCTCAGCTTGGCCTTCCTTGGTATGGCCCTTATTTTTTCCATTTAGTGACAGGATTGGCCTCCAACATCCTCTTTACTAGGAGTGATTCCAGAAAAGAGAGAGCCACTCTGGTAGGTCCTTCAAAATTTCAAGGGATGATTGGTCAGTCTATATCACATGCCCTTTATTTATTTATTTATTTGGTCAGTGAAGTGGGATCGTGTAATTGACAGGCTCTCTGGGCATTAAGGACGGGTCTGTTCTTGAAAGTAAAGGTTGCTGGGTACAAGGATGTCCACGACGGATGTCCATCACAACATGGTGCTTCATTTTGCTGCTTATCATCTCTTCTTAGGCTTCCTCAGAATTGGACGGCTGAGACTACAAAGGACTTGGGACCTTTTCTAGTACTTTTCTCAGGAGATGAATTACACCCTATTGCCAGAAAGGTACCTCTCTGCCCCATCTGAAGAATTTAAGAAGGTCGAAGGAGTTTGAAGGGGAGAGAAAGTGTGGTTATCATACCCCACTGGGTTTGCACCGTCTGTGGTTCGGGAAGGTTCTTTTTTTTTTCTCTGCAAAGAGGTTAGATGTTTCCAGTTTCATTCTGAGATGCCCAGAGTTCAGGGAAAGGGAGTGAGGTGGCAGCTGAATGACTCTGGTCCTTCCCGTGGCCCTCCAGGCAAATGTATGCATGACTCAAATCTCTGAAGGACCTGCTATGGTCATGTTATCTGTCATCTCAGGCGCATGCCCATTCAATGTCTTGTTCCTTCCAGTGCCATATGCACATGCACATGGTGTCCAGGGTGTGCAATCACATACGTGAACACCATTAATCCAAAACCAGATCACTGGGCCCGGCACTCTACTAGTAAAGTCACTGAAGTAACTATCCAAGATTTAGACAGTTTAGGCCAAGATATGTGCAAAACAAATCAGTCACCTTTTGCTGCATACAAAGCCTTATGGCTTGCAACAATAGCATTTGGTCTGTGGTCCCTGGGGCAGCCCTCTCTGGAACCCTGTCTTTGGGGCCCTCCATGTTCTCCTCATGGTACAGTTCTGACATTCCAGATAAAGGAGTGGAAAAGTACAATCATTCTTAAGGCCCAGGCTGGACATTGGCATGCTCTCTTCTGCCACATTCCAACCACCAAGGCGATTCACATGACCAAGCCCCACCTGGAGGGGCAGGAAGTAGTCTCCTGTGGAGATGGAGGGTGGGGAAGGAGTAAATGTTTGCCTGGTTACAGTCAGACCTACCACAAAGCACACCCACACTCAGACCTGTACCTGCACACGCAGTCTGCACATGAGTGTGCTTCRCAGGGCTTGAGCACAGGCACATCGCCAGGGTCACGCATGCACAGCTCATCCTCTAACGTCTGGTCATAGCAAAATCACTGTCCAGGTGTCCAAACATAAACAGTAGGTGCATAAATATTATATACTGATCTTGTCTTTAAAAAAAAATCAACTTAGGAAATTGAAATCATCYTGAATCAACATGGTGAGATCTCAAAAACAGCGTAGAGTTACGAAAGCCTGAGTTGCAAAAGAATGTGTATGGTAGGATACAAGGACATGAATAAATACTAGCTAAATTAATTTTAAGCACCTGCAGAACAAGTCTATGTATAAGGTAAGTTTAAAAGTGTGCTGAGAATGGTTAATGCCAAATTCAGAGTCACTTCTGGGGAAGGAGAGAGGCTGAAGGACCCATCAATTGTATCTGTGATGTCTTATTTCTTAAGTTGAATTGTAGATACATGGGGTTTATGGGTGTTTTGTTGTATTATTCTGTATATATATATTTTTTGAAGCTGGAAATGTTTAATAAAACAAGTAGTACATGCTTCTGGTTAAAAATCCCAAGTGTTCCAGAGGCTATAGGATGAAAAGCAAATCTTCCTCTCACCCCAGATTTCTACTCCCAGCTTTTCTACTCAGAGCAGCCGCTCTTTGCAGTTTCTTGTGCATCCTTTCAGAAAAATACCACCCACGCACACACACAGGCTCCCTTTTAACAACACAAAATGGAAAATACCAGTCTGCTGGTTTGTTCCCTGCTAGACTCTTTGCATCTTTAACAGTTAACCACAGTCATCCATTGCTTAATGATGGGGCTAAGTTATGAGAAATGCATCATTGGATGATTTCACCATTGTGCAAACTTCATAGAATGTACTCACACAAACTAAAGTCACTAAGTGATGTGATCCTGTGGCCTGCATTGACTGAAAACATTGTTAAGTGGCACTTGCTGTACTTTTGTATGACTGGCTTCACAGTAGGTTCGTTGATACAAGCATTACCACAAACACGTGGGTGATGTGATAGGATGGCTATGACATTACCAGACACCAGAAAAATTTTAGCTCCATTGTGAACCTATGGGACTGTGGTCGAATGAGTGGTCCGTCGTCAGCTGAAAGGTCATTGTATGTTGCTGGACAGTCTCTTTCAACAGTTGCCCACTAGAATCACCTGGGGACACTCTAAAATGAACTGATCCATGGTCCCCACTCCAGACCAAGTGACTCAAATCTCTGAAGGTGAAGCCTGGATATCTGTAGAATTCCCAGGTGATTCTTACCCATAGCTGACTTAACTTCCAACTCTTATTCTGAAGATTTGGATAGAAAGAGTAACTACACAAACCAAGTTGCTTTCTCTGTGGGAGAGCTGGGACACAGTGGCATGTGATGGTATAAGAGCCTGATGAGTTCTTTGGGCTCATAGATAGGGCTCCCAAGAATGGACAAAGTCTGATATAGTTCTAGATGGGAAATGATACCTTGTTCATGGGCACCAAGCTCCCTCACTGCCAATCTCCACCCAGAACCCAGAGGCAGCCCTTCTGTACCTCCTTTTTATGAAAAACATAAAGTTTTTAATATTAGCCTGAAAAAAGAGGAGGAGCACCCACATTTTTTTGTAGACATTATCAGATTGCTCTGATAATGAGGCACCATGTAACAGTCCCACAGAAAAACAGGAGTGCATGTCTCCTACATCTTGGCCAGCATTAAGTATTATCACTTTATTTTATTTTTGACAATTGGATAGATGAAAAGTGACGTTGGTTAATGTGGAGGTTGGGCATCTTTTTTTAGGATTGTTAGTTGGACCATGTTAGTTGGGCTAGATTGTTATATGAACCATGTTGGTTGGTTTAGAGATTAAACTGATATGAGAAGCTGCCCTAAAGAGAAAAACAAACAGATAAATAACGTGAGGCATTAGGCAGCATTGTAGTTTAAGCTCTGACTTAGATATGTGTAATGTGCTTTAACTGTTTGTTCTTTTGGACACACACAGTTTCCTGATATCCTTCAACAAACAGCTTTCAAGATGGCGGGGACTCTGCTCCCTAAGGAATTCCTCTGGGCTGTCTTTGAGTCTGTTCGGAACAGCAGTGACGAGAGCCCCAGTTTGGACCCCACCCCTGGTGAGTGCTTCTGGGGTATCTGATCCTGTGCCACAGTCCTGACATTTAAAGACCTCCTTGTCCAGAAGACTCGATTAAATATTTGGAAAGTACTAGAAGGCAAAAATCCACAGGCCAAAGAACCACACCTTAGTAAAGTGATTTGAAAACATGCTCCACACTCCTTACCAAAGCTAGTAGGTATAATGGGTAGATGTGTGTAAGACACATTTCAATAGGATTGGCTTAAAAGACCAACATGGTTCAGCAGCTAAATACTGCAGTGATGGGGGCAGTTTGGCCAGATTTGAATCCTGAGCCTGTCATTTACTGGCTGTGCGACTCTGGGTAAGCTCTTTGACCTCTCTGTGCCTCAGTTTTCATCCTCTCTTAAAGTGAGGGTAAAGAAAACCCTGAACCTCATTGGATTATTGTGAAGATTAACAGGTTTAAATCTGGTATATAGGAAAGGCTCAAAAATATTAGACATTTTTATTATCCAYACTGTGCATCCGCTAAATGCAGACTTGTGCTAGGCACGAAGAGACAAACTCAGTCAAACCCAGTAATAATTGTAATAATCATAGTTCACAGTCAGTCCTTGCTTGCTTTCATCCAACAAATATTTATTGAAAGCTGATTATGTGACGAAGAGAAAAATTCCCTGTCCTCACAAAGCTTATTTTCAAACGGGGCATAGCCAGACAATTAATTCCATACATAAGTAAAATATGTAAAATGTTGTTTGGTGATAAGTATCAAGAAGGAAGGTAAAGTAAAGTAGGGAAAGGTCTGGGAGTGTCCAGTATTGAAAGTGGAGTATTTTTGGAGGGTGGGTGGGTACTGGGGATTGAATTCAGGGGCACTTKACCACTGAGCCACATCCCCAGCCCTGTTTTTGTATTTTATTTAGGGACAGGGTCTCACTGAGTTGCTAATCACCTCACTGTAGCTGAGGGTGGTTTTGAACTCGGGATCCTCCTGCCTCAGCCTCCTGAGCTGCTGGGATTATAGGCATGTGCCATCACACCTGGTGAAACTGAAGTTCTGAGATGGAACTCAACTCCCCACTTTTGTTGGTGGGTGGGGTCTGCCTAAGGTGCCGGCCTCTGTAGTCAAGAAGTGCCACAGCTCTTAATGGTGGGCCGTTCCCTCCAGTGATGCAGTAAACCCAGCAGCTCTCTGTGGATTTCTTCCTCCTGGGTTCTTGTCTTGTSAATTCCAAGAATGAAACCCATGGACCACCATGAATGAGCGTGGGAGTAGGATTTTTTGAAAAAGAGAAACAGGAACAGAACTCTTGTGGTGTAAGAGGGGACCCAACAGTGGCTTTTCTCTGATCAAGTATGCTAATCTAGGGGTTTAAGTAGCACCTGGGTCACTGATCCAATCTTAGGCTAATTATGGTTTGGAAAAGTACTAATGCTATTGGTCCAAACTTATGGTAATTAGGGTTTGGAAAAGTAACGCTATTGGTTAGCCCTGAATCCCATTCAGGTTTGCCTTACTTCCATTTTCTCCCTGCTTCAGGAAGSGGAAGTTGGAGTTGCGCATGCTCAGTGGGGTGTCTGGACCTGCAGCTCTGCAGTGGGCCTCTGCAGCGGGCATCCCCACTGTGTGCAGGCTGGGTTGCTGCAGGGTGATGGGTCAGCTTGCCCTGGCTCACCTCAGCACTAGACCACTGCCCCTCAGGCCACCATGGCAGGCTCCTCATGGCAGCCCTGCTTCCTGCCTGGGCTTCAGACCAACCCAGCTGCCACTCTGCTGCTTCGCCACTCCCTTGCTAATTCTCAGCAGGGAACAGTGGGCTGGCTGCATGGCTTGGTGCTGGGGACCCATGTCAGTGAGAGATCATAATGTGGAAGAGAACCATTAAGGAAGGTCACATCGAGACGGTGATGTTTGAATGAAGACCCAGGGGGATGTGGGAGTGGACCACATTGATTGTCATGCCCACAGCCCGGTTGCCTAGAGACCAAAGGAAACACCCAGAGATGGTGTATGAGGCATAAGGCTTCATTGAGAAATGCTTATGGGAAAGGTCCAGTGTTGACAGGCTGAACAGGTAGCACCTGCTCCCCTCACCTCTTTGCCAAGGTGCCTCCTCTGCCTCAAGGCATTTTGTCTAGTAGCAGCTGGCTGGACAAGTTCCGTAGAACCCTCAGTTCCCCACAAGTCATTCCTGAGAGAGAGAGACTTTATATGTCAGGCTGCAGGAGCAGTGACATCACCAGCATTATTAGCTTGCTTAGTCTGCCTGCATGACCAGCATCTCAAGGAGCAACTGTCCTGTTGTACATGCAAGACAGCAGCTTTCTACAGATAATGCTGACTTTCCCTGGTTCCCAGTGTGCATTAGAGACAGACAGTGTCCTTCAAGACATTCCTGCTCAGGCTTGCTCTCATTGTTCCTGTAACTTGGCTAGGTTTTGGAGATTAGAAAGGGGCATTCGAGGACATGGTGTTTTACTGCCTTCTATTTTCTATAAGTTTTCCAGACAGAGAGAATACAATGGGAGTGGGAGAGGGATGGGAAGTGAGAAGCCCATGTCATTGGAGGAACAGGCCAGGCAGATAGGGCCTGAGGAAGGAAACCCTAAGGACTTTGGCTTTTGCTCCAGGTAGAGGAATCCTGGGTATCAAGCAAAGAAAGATCCCAATCTGATTTGTATCCACCGTAGGTTATCTTCTCGTATGCATTGTCTTGTACTCATTTTTATTCTGTGAGGTGGGCACCACGATTCTCCCATTCTCTTGAGGAGGGAAACTGGGGTTCAGAGACATTAAGGAACTTTGCCAAAGTCACAGAGTTAGTAAGTGGCGACTCTTGGACTTGTGCCCAGAGCTGGTGGTGCTGACTGCTAGCTTCTGCTGCCCTCAGAGCTGGCCATCTTTGAGTCATATACCACATGACTCTTACTGTGGTCTGTGGGAAGCAAGTCTTTCCATACTTGGGGAGGAAGCTGCTACCAGTACATAGACAGAGTTTTCTTAGTTGATTCTTGGTATTGATTGCTGCTGTGATTTTAGTGATCAATAAATTAGCAGGATTACTACTTTGCTTAATTTGAGTTAATTTGTGTCTGTGTTCATTCATTCTCCAAATACTGGCTGAGCATCTACTATGTGCTAGGCTCTATTCTAAGCCCTAGACACACAGCTGTGATAAGACCAAGTCCCTGCTGTACCATTCAACCCTTCTGTTTTTCTCTAATTCTGTGCTGTCATTAATCCTGGGAATTCAGAAGAGGTGGGTCTTTAGTCCCCTAAAAGTATGTTGTAATAAAGATGTTAAGGATYACAAATGACACCATTGATCTGGTCTAGTTTGGCCTCTTGATTGGAGTCCAGAGAGTTCATATTGAAAAATGCAGTGAGAAGGGAGTGACTACAGAGCTTGGGAAATACTCTGGCCTCTGGTAGTGCTGGTGAGTAGTCAGCATGAGTAGTGGTTGGCTGCTAAAACAAAAAGATCCAGGACTGCTCTTAAAGGGCCTTGCACTTCCTCCCAGTCTGGGCATACTGAAGCCAGGAAGGACAATATCTCATTTGTGCATTAGTAGGTAACTAGTTTGTCTATGCAAACCTCAACTATTCAAGGACTAAAATGGATGGGTTTCTCCTGTTGCCGAGGAAAATGCAATGGGTCCATTTCTCTTCCTTCCTGGGATCAGAAGGCCACAGCTCCCACTGTGATTTTTATGGATAGAAAATCACCCTCTCATTTGGATAGAAAGTCTCCTTTTTAATTACCATGGAACCCTTAATGCTGAGTTGCAAACTCAAATATGTAGGGGGTCAGGTAGGTGACATAAATGATAATAATGTCTAACATTTACTAAACACCTTCTGTATGCTTCTAAGTGCTTTCTATATAGTAACGCTCGCAGTTTTCTTAATCATCTTACAAAGTGATTTTATTCCCATTTTATAGACAAGGAAATGGAAGCACAGAGGGGTTAAATGGCTTTGGATCTGAACCTGAAATCAGATCTGTTTACCAGCTCCTATTGCCCTCCAGGGGTTTGCAGTCCAGTTGTGACATTGTAAAGCTATTTCTTTGCCCATGTGGATGTGCAGAATGCTGGTGTCTCCAAGATTTGGCTACAGATAGTTATCAAGAAATGGCAGAAGTGGGATTTCAGCTGGGCTCTGGGCCCCAGCTCAGCCTCCCCACTCTCCTGCCTCTTGGGAAAGAATGGAACTGGTGAAGACTCTTATTCAGTAGGGAAACTGACTAGCATTTCCTGAATTTCTCTTCCCCACCCCATCCTTCCCTGCATCTCCCCATTCTTCAGGTTGCCAAGGAGTCACAGCTCCCTCCTCTGATGACATCTTTAAGTTGGCCGAGGCCAACGCCTGCTGGGCCCCCGAGGACCTCCTCTGCATGGAAGAAGACACTTTCATCAGGAGCGTGGAGCTGCTGGGGGCTGTCAAGGGTTTCAGCCAGCCTCAGCTGTTGACGCTGAAGGAGAAGGCGATTCAGGTAAACCGCCCCATAGGGAGGAGGCTCAAGTGGAAGGACAGTCACCACCAAATTCTGGCCTTGCTGCATTTCTATACCTAGACACCCTCCTTGGGGGAATTTGCACCTACATGATCTTGTTGGAATTTCACTGCCTCTGCTCAGTGAGGCAGTTGTGATCTCCTCATTTGAGAAAAGGGGAAACTTCTAGTTCTTCCCTCTTAGGGCATCGACAGAGAATGGACTGAGATGCCTCTTGGCATCTTGTGGCTGTTCAGTAAATTAAGTTCTGTGCGTGTCCTGACCAAAACTCTTTCCAGGGATTTCTTCYTCCACTGGGAGAGCCCCAACTGCTGCCTGCAGCAGGTTTTCTCAGCATCTGTTACAGACTCACCTGAGAACAGCAGAAAGGAGTAAGAAAAGAGAGCAGGAAGTAGTTGACCATCTTTAAAAAGTTCCCTTTGAGTAGCTCAGGTTAGCTGTTGGGATCGTTATGAATATTTAGTTACTCTCATGGGGTTAAAAACATCACATCACTTAAAATTATATTTATAATTCTTTTTAAACAAGAAATCCGAGTTTATGGTAGAAAAGTCAGAAAATATTTAAACAGAAAATCAGTCATAATCTTTACCCCAGGATAAACAAGGGTGATATTTGGGTATATTCATCTGAAGCTTCTCAGATTTGTGCATGCATATAAAATAGAGTTGTAGATTTCATACCCATGTTTCTTTAGTATCCAAGGGGGTACTGATTCCAGGATCCCCACAAATACCAATCCATGGATGATCAACTTCTTTATATAAAATAGCACAGTTTTTGTATATAAYCTACAATTCCCAATACAATATAAATAGTTGTTATACTATATTGTTTAGGGAATAATGACAAGAAAATAAGTCTGTACATGTTCAATATAGATACATTTTTTTTTTTTTTTTTTGCAGTGCCAGGGATTGAACCCAGGGCATCGTGCAAGTTAGGCAAGTGCCCTACAATGAGCCACATCCCCAACCCCAGATGCACTTTTTTTTAAGTTTTTTTTCCTGGTACTGAGCATTGAACCCAGGGAAGCTTTACCACTGAGCTACACACTAAGTCCCTTTTTAATTTTTTTTTTTAAAGATAGGGTCTCACTAAGTTGCTGGGGCTGGCCTAGAGCTTGCAATCCTCCTGCCTCAGCTTCTCATTGCTGGGATAACAGGTGTGCACCACTGCATCCTGCTCCTGCATCCTGTATTTTTGATTCATGATTTGTTGAACCTACAGATTGCAAAACATGCAGATGCAGAGAACTGACTTTATTCACATATAGATGTTATAAAAAATGGCATCATACACACTATTCAATAACTTTCAACATTCAACAGTTCTAGAGTGCTTACTTTACCATATTAGATATATAAATCTATATCAGTATTTTAAATAGCTATATAATATTTCATTTTATGGCCGGCCTTTTTTATTTATCTAATTGTTAGTCTTTAAGATTATATATATATATATATATATATTGAATTGAATCGAATCCAGGGCCCTGTGCATGCAAGGCAAGCACCCTACCAACTGAGCTATATCCTCAGCCCCTAGATTATATTTTTAAAGCCTTAAGGTGTTCTTTGTAATGTCTTTGGGTACTTATCTCATATTTCTTTTGGGCTAAATTCCCAGAGGATGAATTTCTTGGCGAAAGAGTGTAAGTATCTAAAAAGCTTTTGATCCACATAGTCAAATTACCCTTTCAAAATTATGTACTAATTTATATTCTCAGTTAACAACAAACAAGGGCATCTTTTGCCTCATGTCTTCACAATGTCAGAGACCACCATTCTTCACATTCCTTGTCAACATAATGAGGCAACATGGCCTTCTTTAATTATTTTAAATGAGCATTTTTTCATTCATGACAGAGAATAAACTTCTTCTCATATGTTTTCTTCTTCTGTGAATCTCCTGTTAATGTCTTTTTTTTTAAAAAAAAGAAAACAAAAATGTGGTCATGATTTGTAAGAGATTTATATATTAAAGAGACCCTAGGCCGGTCAAGGTGGTATAAGCCTGTAATCCCAGAGGTTTGGGAGGCTGAGAGCAGGAGGATCACAAGTTCAAAACCAGCCTCAGCAAAAAGCAAGATGCYAAGCAACTCAGTGAGACCCCGTTTCTAAAATAATACAGACTAAGGCTGGGGATGTGATTCAGTGGTCGAGTGCCCCTGAGTTCAATCCCTGATACCCACCCCCTGCAAAAAAGAGACCCTATGTGTATTTAAAATATACCATCCTAGTTTGCTCAGGCTGCTATAAGAAAATATACAGGATAACTTACAAAAACCAGAAGTTTATTTTTCACAGTCTGGRAGCTGGGAATTCTAATATCAAGGCACCAGAACATTCAGAGTCTAGCAAGGGCTTGTTCCTCATAGACGGCCTTTGCTCTCGCCAGCCTCACATAGTGGAAAGGGCTCGATAGCGCTCTGAGGTGTCTTTTCTAAGGGCATGAACCCATTTGTGAGGGTGAAGCTCTTATGACCTAGTCCCTGCTCACAGGTCCCGCCTTCTAATACTGTCACATTGGGAATTAGGTTTCAACAAATGATTTTTACAGGGACATAACAATTAGACCTTAACAAATGCTGTCATTACTGTTTGTCAAAGTTTTTTCCTCTCCATTCAAAGGTTTGGAACTTCCCTTCCTTCTGGAGAGAACACCACATCGTCTCCCTGGGACGCATTGCCCTGGCTCTTAATGTGAGTGAGCTGGAGCAGCTGGACCTCAGCTCCATAGACACTGTGGCTTCCTTGAGCCAGCAGACAGAATGGACCYCAGAACAGGTAGGTGGATGTCACTGGATCTTTTAAATAGTCTAGTTCTCTCTTAATTTTGCTTATATTTTCCTTTAGATTCTTGAACATATTTATAGTGTTTATAATAGCTGCTTTCATACCCTTACTGCTGATCCCAACCATCACTGTTATTTCTGAGCCTGTTTCTGTGAACCAGTTGTTCTCCTAGTTTTGGATTGTATTTTCTTGCTTGTTTGCAAGCTGAGTAATTCATTGTGTTTGTGGGTTTTTTTCATTTTTATTGGTGCACGTGATTTATACAGAATGGTGGGTTTCACTGTGGCATATTCATGTAGACATAAAACTATAATATAATTAATTCCATTTGCCAGGACCTTCCCCACCCCTTTTTCCCTCCGCCCCTCGCTGCCTTCCTCTTCCCTAATGGTCTTCCTTCTGCTTTAGTGGCACCCCTTTTTGTCGCCTTTTCCCCCGCTTCAACATATGAGATAAAACACGTGATACTTTTCTCTCTGAGTTGGACATTTGGCTCAAAATTATGGTTTCTAGTTCCATTCATTTTACAGCAAGTGATGTAATTTTGCTTTTCTTTAAGGCTGAATAAAATTCCCTTATGAATATATACCATATTTTCTTTATTCATTCATCTGTCAGTGGACACCTAGGCTGATTCTGTAACTTGGCTATAGTGGATTGTGCTGCGATAAATATGGGTTTACATTGTATCTCTGAAGTACACTAACTTTATGTCTTTTGGACAAATACCAAGGAATGGTGTAGCTAGATCATAAGGTAGTTTTATTTTTACCTTTTTAAGGAAATGCCATACTGATTTCCATATTGGCTATAATAATTTACATTTCCGCCAACAATATGTAAGAGTTTGTATTTCCCTGTATCCTTACTAGCATATATTGTTATCTGTATTCTTGATAATTGCCATTCTAACTGGAGTGAGAGGCATCCTCAATGTAGTTCTTTATTTGTATTTCTTTGACCTGCAACCCTAGTCATTTTGACTGGTTGAATTATGTATTTTACATGGTTGAATGTCTGATTCAGTTGGATTCCTTTAAAGATTATTAGGTCTTGTTTTGGTGTGTGTTTAAATTACTGACCAGTCAGTTTGGTCCCTTTGTGTCCTTCTGAGCTTCATTACAGCAAGCCCAGAATGAATTCTATTCTGTGGTTCAAGTTCCCCCATTACAGAGACGTCACTCTTCTGTGGACTCTGCCTGGTGTGCCATGCTCTCTCCACCCTGGCTGGTGGAGATGTGAACTCTCTCCAACTCCATGAGAACCTTTCCAATGACTCTGCCTGCTTCCTTCTAGTGACTCTTTCCTTGCCTCTACGGAATTTCATTCTTTACATGTGCAAATATAGACTCAGTCCTCCAACAGTTATCTTTGCAGATTTCTAGAACTCTCTCTGTGTATTTTTCACTTCTCTCATACTTCGCCCCATAAAGAATAGAAACCCTTGCTTCTCTGAACTTGGACCCTTTCTCTCTTTCTCTGTGTMTCTCTCTTGTAATTATTTATAGAACAATGCAGATTGGCAGTTCTCTGGGGCTGCTTATATGGGAAGAAAACATCCTAAGAGTTTGATTTCATTTCCTCTGGGGCCACCTGTGATATTTATACTGGCTTAGAATTGGGCCTGGGCACAGAAATTGTATCTATAAAAGATGACTAGCACATGCTTTTCTTTAAAAAATATATGGTTAGACATGCATGTTTTATCACATAATAAATATTTACTGAATAAATGAATGCTGAAGCATTCTCTTCTTAGAGGGGTCAGTGGAAGTGGATTGCTACTTGTGGATGTGTTGAAGTGAACCAGCGAGGAAGAGTAATTTGCCGTGTTTGTTTTTTGTGAATTTTTGACCTTGGATCTGAGTCAACTTGGCTGGACCTCTGGGTTGTTTGGCTTCCCCCTCCTGCTCTATGACCTGGAAGGTGCCTTCGGGGCAGTGAGCAGGGGCAATTTCAGGGCTTGCGTTAYTTGTTTTTCTTCTTTCAAGATTACCATCCTGTGCTCCCTGTTGTACAATATCGGAATACAGTTGTTTTATATATTTTGTTCAGTTTTCTAGTCGTTTATGGTGAGAGGAGAATTCCTGTGGTCATTAATCCTTCATGGGCTGAAGAAGACATGCTTGCCAGAATTTGAATTGTTTCAGTTGGGAGAGATGTATAGGGCGTCAAGTCCACGGAACTGGTGGGAAAGGAAGTCCTAGATTCTCCATGTCGGCCTTGCAAGCTATTTCAGCACAAGGCTTAGACACTCGTTAATTAGCAATCTCATAAAAATGTGTCTCTTTCTGTCTATATCCAAGGGACATAAAAATAGCATACTACAGTGATGCAGCCACATCAATGTTTATAGCAGCTTAATTCACAATAGCTAAGCTATGGAAACTACCTAAGTGTCCTTCAACAGATGAATGGATAAAGAAAATGTGGTATATATGCACAATGGGATATTACTCAGCCTTAAAGAAGAATGAAGTTATGGCATTTTCAGGTAAATGGATGGAGTTGGAGAATATCATGCTAAGCAAAGTAAGCCAATCCCTCCAAACCAAAGTGGATGCTAATCCATCATGGGGGGTGGGGCATGGGATGAGTGGCGGAACTTTGGATTGGGCAAAGGGGAGGGAGGAGAGGGGAAGGGGGAATGGGGGTAGGAAAGATGGTGGAATGAGATGGACATTATTATCCTAGGTACATGTATGATTGCATGAATGGTGTAACTCTACTTYGTGTACAAGCAGAGAAGTGAAAAATTGTGCTCCATTTGTGTACAATGAATTGAAGAGCATTCTGCTGTCACGTATAACTGATGAGAAMACATAATAAAAAATTGTCAAAAAATGTGTCTCTTTTTCATTCATTTTTAAAAATGACTCACCATTAACTCCAGTCATGGAGTCCCTCTGGTCAGGGGCTGAGTGTGTTGTTGATTGGCCAGGCTACTAGCAGGAGTGGAATTCCTCTTCCCATGACCGCCTGAGCTGAGAGTGGGAAGGGGCATGTGGAGGTTAAGGTCCCTCCTCCCCACCACCCAGAGAGGTCCACATGGAATCCCTGGAGCTGGTACATTGCCTTAAGGGGCAAAGGAGTCTTTGCAGATGTGATTCATGTAAGGGTCTTGAAACAGATTATCCTGTTGATCCCAGTGTGACCTCAAGGGCCATGTAAGAGGAGAGGGACACAGAAGCGCCACAGCTATAGAAGGTGACACGAGAAAGGCAGCAGAGGGAAACCGAGAGATGTGAGGGTGTCGGCTATTGTTTTTGAAGATGGGGGAGGGGCAATAAGTCAAGGAAGGCAGGTGACCCCTGGGAGTGAGAAAAGGCAAGGAAATGATTTCTCCTAGACCCTCAGGGGGAGCACATTCTTCTGCCGATTCATTGTAGGACTTAAGACCCCCCCCCCCAAACTGTAAGTGAATAAATTTGTGTCATTTTAAGTCACGAAGTTGGTGGTAATTTGTTTARTAACAATAGGAAACTAATCCAGAGTAGTTCTTGAAAGGAAAATTGGTGTGGTGTTATTGAACATAGGGAGAATGGATGCCAGGCAGGCAAAACCCAGCAGCTCTCAGGAGCTCTGTGTAATCACAATTGTCACATCCCATAACCAAGTGGCACCATTTAAACAGAACACAGTGTGAATGGCATCTACCTGGACCTGGGCAACCTGGAGGTCCTGGCCACAAGGCTTCAACGAGATGATCAATTAAAACATTTTCAACAATGTCTCCAACATAGGAGTCAATGAACTTAATTTTTCATTGCTGTTGCTGTCGTTATTGTCACTGTCATCATCACACTTCCTCCCTTGGGTTAGTTTCTTTGTTTGCAAGACGAGAGGGTTAAACCCAGGAATCTGAAGTTCCTTTCACTCCAACATTCTATAATCTTATGATTCTGTGGCTCTAAAACTGGTTTTGACTCGTTCGAGAAGTGCCACATCACATAGCTGATATTAAAATCATTTCTATTTGCAGTCTGGGAGAAACAGAAAAATATATCCAACTTAGAAGCTGGAGTATCTCTTTCCCTTTGCACCAATTTTAATTCCCATGGATGGCAGTGAGATTTATCAATATGTTTGAAGAGGATATGAAAATCTAACATTTGCATATATCATTTGCAGTCAGTTCCTCAACTTTAGCTCCCAATCAAACCCTTAAATGCATGTTTCTAGATTAATAGTCAGACCTGGAGGAACTACATTAACAGATAGTTCAGCTTAAAAACCAATATAAGGGGGAAAAAACTATTATAAAAGCCAGAGGGATGAACAGAGAGATTGAAATCTTACAGCTACTCATTTTTCAGTGGTTAATATTGCCTAAAAGTGTTGGTATTAATTGTCCTGGAATCATTATGTACACACCGGTCCAGTCATTCAGGGAAATGTATTTTGACTTATCACCTTGCAGGCTGAGTTTGCATTTCTGGGTTCCAGTGGCAAGGACAATTTAATACCACATCTTCAAAGTAATTTTATTTGAATTGTACTTTTGCACTTTGATTTTAAATGGGCATGCCTGATACTTGCGGAGCCCAAATTGCTATGAGTCAACTAGTGAAACCTGATTTTGAAGACTTAATAAGAAAAATTGAAAAGCTAACGTGAATACATCTTTTTCCATGTTCAGATACCTTCACTGGCTGAGTACAGGCTCTGGAGTCTGACCGACTGGGTTTTGATACTAGAGCCATTGTTTTTTTAGCAGTGTGACCTTGACTTTCTTAACTTCTCTGCGCCTCCGTTGSTCATCTATGAAAGAGGAATAATATTAATACATAGCTAAGAGGGTTGTTGTGAGAATCAGATGAGATGGTGATGTAAAATAGTGCCAGCACACAGTAAGCATTAAAAAAAATGTTGGTTGTTATTATTTTGGATGAACATTTCCATTTGGTCAAAGACAGGTAAGTCTAAGCAGATCCATGTGCATAYCCTTCCAATGATACATATGCTATCCCTTCAAGTTCAAGTCCAGTGTAAAGAAAGCACTTTCCTCCTAATTGCTCCACCCAATGTCTTGTTTGGTCCTGGCTGGATCACAGGCATAATCTAGAACCAATCACTGTAGCCAGGCTAAGAGATGACACAGTGACTAGAAATAGGTCCTATGGAACACAGGAGACAGCTAACTTTGTCTGAACCATATGGAGTAAGAGTGTATGTGTGGTTTTCCAGGGACAGTCATGACCAATGAATGACAACTGTGCTGGAATTTCAGGGACCCTACACATGAGCTCCCTTACATCAAAGCACACTGGAGATGCAAATTTTAAATGCCAGCATATTTTATGTATTACTTTCTGGAATTGAAGAGCAAGGGGGAAATATAGTTCTGTAGCAAACAGAGGAAGCAAAATTCATTCTGAATGGTCAAGAAAAATTCCATGACKAAGGCAGTATTTGTTTTTTATTCCACATTTTTTATCGGTGCATTGTAATTGTACATAATGCACAACTAAAGATGTATTGGTGCATTATAGTTGCACACAATGATGGGATTTGCTGTTACATATTCATACATACACACACTAGAACAATATAATTTGGCCAATTTCACTCCTCAGCACTCATTTTCTCCCTCCCCTTCTCCCACCCCTTGGTCCCTTTCTTCTCCTGATCTCCCTTTGATTTCCATAAGGACTGTCTCCCTGTTTCTTTTCCTTTATCCTGTGTGGCTTCCACATACGAGAAAAAAACATGACCCTTGACTTTCTGAGTTAGGCTTATTGTGCGTAACATAATGTTCTCTAGTTCCATCTATTTTCTTGCAAATGACATAATTTCATTTTTCTTTATGGCTGAATAAAACTCTATTGTGTATATAGACCACATTTTCTTTATCCATTCATCCATTGATGGACCCCCAGACTGGTTCCATAGTTTGGCTATTGTGAAGTGTGCTGCTGTAAACATAGGTATCGCTGCATCACTGTAGTATGATGATCTTAATTCTTTAGGGTAAATACTGAGGAGTGGTACAGSTGGGTCATATGGTGGTTCCATGCCTAGTCTTTTGAGGAACCCCCTTGCTGATTTCTATCATGGTTGTACTAATTTATAGTCCCACCGACAGTGTGAAAGTGTTTCTTTTTCTCCACATTCTCTCCGGCATTTACTATTATTTGGATTCTTGATGATTACTATTCTGGCTGGTGTGAGATGAAATCTCAGTATAGTTTTGATTTGCATTCCTCTAACTGCGATGATGTTGAACATTTTTTTTTGTATATTCGTTAGCCATGTGTATCTCTTCTTTTGAGATGACTGTTTAATTTATTTTCTCATTTATTAATTGGGTTATTTGATTTTTTTGGTGTAAATTTTTTTGAGTTCTTTATATATTCTAGATATTAATCCTCTGTCGGACGAGTAGCTAGCAAAGGTTTTCTCCCATTCTGTATGTTCTCTCTTCCCATTCTGAATTTTTTCCTTTGCTGTGCAGAAGTTTTCAATTTGATGCCATCGTGTTTATTAACTCTTGGCATTATTTCCTGAGCTTTAGGATTGTAATCAGGAAGTTGTTGTTGTCCGTGCCTGTGTACTGGAGTGTTGACACTATATTTTCTTCTGGGAGTTGCATAGTTTCTTTTCTCATTGATCCACTTTGAGTCGATTTTTGTTCAGAGAGAGAGAGATAAGGGTCTAGTTTCATTCTTCTATATATAGACAGCCAGCACCATTTATTAAAAAGCCTGTTTTTTGCTAGGCACTATGTGCACACCTGGAGTTTTTTCTCAGTGGCTTGGGAGGCTGAAGCAGGAGGATTGCAAGTTCAAAGCCAGCCTCAGCAACTTAGTTTGGCCTTTAGCAACTGTTTTAGTTAGTTTTTTTGATGCTGTGACTAAAGGATCTGACCAGAACAACTATACAGAGGGAAAAGTGTATTCAGGGACTCACGGTTTTGGAGGTCTTAGTCCACAGAAGGCCAGATCCATTTCTCAGGGCTTGCTTGAGGTGAGGCTGAACGTTATGGCGGGAGAGTGTGGCAGAGGGAAACAGCTCACATCATGGAGGCCAGGAAGCAGAGGGGAAAAACTCCACTTGGCAGATACAAATATATACCCAGAGGCACGCCCCAATTCCCACCTCCCCCAGCCTTACCCACCACTTCACTTACCACTCAGTTAATCCCTATCAGGGGGTTAATTCACTATTGGATTAAGACTCTCACAACCCAATAATTTTTCTTCRGAACCTTCTTGCATGGTCTCACATGTGAGCTTTTGGGGGACAGCTCACATTCAAACCAAATAGCAACTTAGTGAGATCCTGTCTCAAAATAAAAAATAAAATGGGCTTAGGATGTGGCCCAGTGGTTAAGCAACCCTGCATTCAATACAGGGAACCCACCCCTGCCAAAAAAGGCTGTCTTTTCTCCAATGCATGTTATGTTGGAAAAAATGTTTGGCACCTTTGTCAAGGATCAGATGACTGTAGATGTGTGGGTTTGTCTCTGTGTAGAAGGTGATATTTTAATTGGACTAAAACATAAAATTAATTCTCACAGTTGGGAATGCAGAAGGATATTGCAGATGAAGGAGCTATATTTTTTGTTTTGTTTTGTTTTTAGATTTTTTTTTGATACTGGGGATTAAATCCAATGAGCCATGTCCCCAGCCTTTTTAAATTTTAAGACAGGGTCTCACTAAGTTGCTTACAGCCTTGCTAAGTTGTGGAGGCTGACTTTGGACTTGTGAACCTCCTGCCCCAGCCTCCTGAATTGCTGGGATTATAGGCGTGCTCCACCATGACCAGAAAGGGGCTGGTTTGAGTAAACACAGAGAAGCAGGAGACTATCAGGTTTGATTGGAAAGATGTAGAAACAGATGCTGGAAATATTTGGATCTTGATGAAGAAGAACTTGAATGTCCAAACTATCTGAAGATCATAAGAGCTTTTGAAGGAGATAAATCATCAGACATTTCCTTCTTTTTTTCTTATTTATTTATTTATTTATTTATTTATTTATTTATTTATCTATCTATCTATCTATCAGGCCAAATCCATTCTGCAAGGGTTCCTGGAGGATTCAGGCTATAGTGTTCAGGATCTGAAGAGCTTTCACTTAGTAGGGCTTGGCGCCATTCTGTGTGCTATGAACATCACTGAAATTCCACTTATAAGGATCTCAGAATTCAGGTAAACCAAATACTAGTGTGCAAAATAGCAAATGATCCCTCCATTCATCTATCCATTTATCTGTTCATCCAGATGTTCTCTACTTTCTGATACTTTGCCCCTTTCTGAACTAAAATAGGGAATGGGGTTATCTGGGTCCTCTTTTGGTACTGGGCCTATTTACCTTCTACACAATATTTTTTGACTGGAGAGGTCTTCTTTAACCAGGATGGTGGTGGCCAGAATTGGGACCCTGACCTGCAGCACTCATGTCTTGGCTGAGTTTAAGAGAAAGGCTGAAGAAGTGTTTGGGGATCCCACTGAGTGGACCAGCTCAGTCTTGCAAGAGCTTGGGACCATTGCAGGTAAGAGGCATCTTGAGCATAACTTTCTCTTCTCAAACTGAAATCTAGAACTAAAATAAAATGAAGCAAAATTAAATAATCATCCTTAGCCACAAAGAGCAAACATCAGTGGAGTTACAGTAGAACCTAGTTTTTAYAGCTTAATGTTGTAGAGGGCAGTATCTGAAAATCTGCTCTTTAAACAAGGTCTCCTGGCAATTCCTGTGCATGCTACAGTTTTATACAGAAAAACGCCACTATAGAATGTGATTTAATTGGTCTCTAAATAGATTTGTTCATCATCTTAAAGTGTGTAAATTGAAGCTCCTCCTGGGTATACATTTCACTGCAGGAGGCCAACCAGGGCTAATGTGACCCACATATTTTTCCTAGTTGATTAAGGAACATGGCTCCCTCGTGYGATTTTCCAGGAATGATCAGGAATGATGCTTGCTTGGGACATGAGAGCTGTACATTATGCAGCCCCATTAATAAAAGGAGTGGCGTTCTGATGGCTTGAACTAAACCCCGTAATTCCTTTCCTTCCCAGCTGGGTTAACTCAGGCGGAGCTCCGAACGTTCGACAAGGAATTGATGCCGTATTTCCAGCCATCAGCAGTAAAATGCTTCCCTGAGGAGATATTCAAAGTAGGTGCTCAGTTCTTCAAGGAGAAATGAGAGCTTGACCCCATTTCGGATCACACAAGGAAACAAGTGACAGGCCCTGGATTCTTGCGGTGTGGAAATAGCCCTCTACTGATAGGATCAGAGGAGATCAACATGTCAACAACAGATGGCAGGATAATTTTAGGTGTTTTTGAAAAGTTTTTCTTAAATTTTTAATTTATATTTTAATTATACTTATTTTTATGGCTACCTTCTCTTCCCAGCAAGYGATACTAATTTTCTATTTATGGAGGTGTGACAGGTTCTTAAAAACCTTCTTCAAAACACTCGGGCACAGAGGTATTTTAGCATTTGGAATTTTTCAGATTTTAGAGAGAATGGCACGTGTATGTACTAAATATACCTAATATTCTCAGCAGCAGCAGGGGATGCATTTGTAAGTAAACATACTAATAACATCATAATATTTTTGTGAGGAAATAGGTAACAGATCACACCAACTAAAATAAATAGAAGCTATAAATAGCCTCACATAAAGTTTTGCTAGTAATTAAGTTTGTCTTAAACTTTGGAAAAAACTTTCGGTTTTCAGACATTTTTGAACTTCAGATTTGCAGGCGAGAGTGTGGAGCTCGATAACATTTCCCTTTGAAATAAGTTTAATTGAAAATCTTTTAATTAATTGAAAAAAAACCATAATAAGACAGATGATGAATTGCTGTGGAAAAAAATTGGGAGAGTGTGGTTGCATCAGATGAAGCAGGGCAGCCGGCGACTCCAGGGAGCGGTCCTTCTTCCTGGGCTCATACAAGATGGAAGTGTTTGGATGGACTGCTCTGGGGAGGAGGCAGGCCCCTGGTCTTCTTGCTTGCTGGGTATACACCTGGATAAGGCACACAAATCAGACTGCAGACAGCCCCGAGGGGCCACATGCTTCATTTCAAGACCCACATCTGACCTAGGACCGTTCCAGCACTGTGGACAGCTCCCAGCACAGCCTGGGCACAGTAGCCCTTGGGGGGGGGGGGGGGATAAACAGCCTTCCCTGAGGCTAGGGAGGGAATTCCTGCTTCCCCTGGGGATGCTCTGTGTGGGATGGGCAGCTTGGTCCTGGCATTTGGCCAAGCACTTCCTCCTGGTCCCTATAGGAGTGAGTCGTGGCTGCTTCATTGTTCAAGTATCTGTTTTAAGCTCCTGTTTGTCCTCTGCAGGGTCAGCGTTAGGTTTACCTGGGGTCAGGAGATCCGTGGTGAAGGAGTTATAAAACAGTACCTTCAGGGGCCAAGAAGGTGACATAAAGGAATGCAGTAGGCAGGGTGGGGCCCAATGTGAACAGGAGAGCCCTGTCTAAATGGGGCGGCTGCTTCTCATCTCAGGCACATTAATGCAGTGTGACCACATGGACCCAGAATTGCTGGATGTAACTTTTTTTTTTTTTTTTTTTAGAAGCAGCCAGAAATCTTCATTTGCATGTGAAATCTCCTGATAATTAAATGTTGTTAGTCGATTTGAATTTATTTTTGAAAAAAACAGTAGGCCTAGAGATTCAGTCTGTCCCATGGGTCACAAGTCAGCAGCATTGGAAAAACAGATAATTTTTGTAATACAGACTCRGTGTTGATGGTAGACGTAAACCAGATGAGCACTTGCTCATCTGGAAGGAAGAACCCTGCTGGCTTCCGGGAGCTGTCAGTATGGATGCTCCTTCTCCAGGGGTGAAGAGCACTGGGAGTGTGGCTGGAAGGGTGGGCAGGACCCAGGAGCCACTGCAGTGTCCTGGAGGGCATGGTGCAGAGAAGGTCTGTAGGCAGAGGAATGGGATTCCAGGGCAGGTCTACCCAGACCAGAGAGGAGAGGGTGAGACTGAGTGAGGTGGGAGGGAGGAAGGAGCATTACCATAGAATCCCCAGATCCTTAGGAGCCCTAAAATAAACAGGATGATGTGAGAGGTTCTTTTAAAAAAGCAGAATCCTGCCACCCCATCTCATTCCATTCCCACTGGAACCAGTCACCAAGTTCTTATTTAAAGCTGGGTGACTTCAGAAAACATTTTGTTCAGAGTTCTTAAAGACACAGGGTGCCAGGCAGAATTTTCTACTTCTGTTGTTTATGGCGACGTCAACAATAGATTACCATGTGTTCCCTCCTCTGATCCCTCACCGGACTCATCATATGGTATATAGGCAGTCATGCCAGAGGATCAAAATTGGCCCAGGAGATAAGTTCTCTGAGTCACTCCACAGCTAGTCCAAAAGCCCAGAGAGGCTATGCAACTTGCCCAAGGTCACACGGCTAGTATGAGGCAGAGCCTGGGCTCAGATTCAGGTCTTTTGCATCTAGGCCTGTGATTTCTTTCCTACATCAGCGTTTCTTCAGGTGGAAAACTGGAATGGTTGAAAAGGTACCTTCATTGTCACAGTGAGAAAATCATGACTCCCTTTTCAACCCTCCTTTAAGACTTGATTACTTCAAGGAGGCTCACTTTGGAGCTAGAATGTCTTTAATACCTCTGGAGCACTTTTTAATTTCTCCAACCACTTTTTTTTTTTTTTTTTTGTAAGTGGGGATTGAACTCAGGGGCACCTGACCACTGAGCCACATCTGCATTCCTATTTTTTATTGTATTTAGAGACAGGGTCTCACTGAGTTACTCAGTGGCTTGCTTTTGCCGAGATTGGATTTGAACTCGCCATCCTCCTGCCTCAGCCTCCTGAGCTACTGTGATTACAGGCACCACCATAATGGTCCAGCCTCTCTTTTTTTTTTTTTTAAGAGGCTAGGGATTCAGATGTTGTTGGCCACAATCTAGCTGAAATTAAATTGTGTTTTTTTCTTTTTTGCTTCTATTGAATGTTTGCTTATAGCAATTCTACTGATCTTCTATTTTTGGAAAATTCCATTTTAAAATATATGTATTTGCTTAGTCGAAGAGTGATCTTAAAGAGGTGCACAAATGGTACACGGGCATGACAAAGTTGTGCAGGCTTGGGAAGATGACTGAGGTTTGGGGAAAGTCAGAAGCTCCGCCCTCCGAAGCCTTTGCCCCCTTTTCCTCCCACAGGAGCTATCAGCGGAGCAGATCGCCTCTTTGGGTCCAGAGAATGCCGCTGCGGTGAGCCACGCCCAGCGCCAGCGGCTCAGCACGTCACAGCTGCAGAGTCTCCAGCGAGCACTAGATGGCGCCAAGACTCACTCCTGGCAGGAAGCGCCCGCCAGCGCCAGCCCCACCGGGTCGTCCTCCGCAGGTTCTCCCCCAGGTGAGCGGAGCCGCGCCAGGGACGCACTCTTAGTCTCCCTCCCGGTCCAGTGGTCYACCGTGCAGTCCCTGGGGGGCTAAGGTTCAGGGCCGGATCTTTAACAGTCATTTAGGATCTGTGCTCAGAGATAAACCCAAAGTGCTCACCAAGCTTCTGCTGAGTGGTTCTAGCAGCAATTGAAATCACCTGGGGAAGCTCATAAAACTTGCAGGTCCCCAGGTTCTCTTCGGAATCCATTGGATCGGAATCTTCTCAAGACTGAACAGGTTTTAGTGGTTCCTTTGCATCCTTCTTCCTCACTGTCCAGTATTAATTAATTCAGCCTCTCTGCACTGGGCACCTTCTATGTTCCAAATCTGCTGTAGAGGCTGAGAACACAGGTGAGCAAGACAGACAAGGGTCTTTTGTAARTGAAGAGGATGATGTCATGTCTGATAAGACCGGGGAAGGCAATAGGCAGAGGAGGTGATGGTAACCAAGGGCTGAGCAAGACAGGATCTGGGAAGCCTCCCCAGGAAGTGACATTCACCTGGGCATGTGACTTTCCTGCCCTTTCCCCTCACGGCCTTGCTTACTGCTTTCCTCACCCACTCCATCTTGGCCGTTTTTTCTATCCTAGGCAAGGTGCTACACTTTGGGAAAAAAGCATGGAGCCGGGTATCTCTTGTCCTCACTGAGTTGTGCGGTGAGGGAAGCATCCATAACCAGGTGGCCATGAGGCAGTATGGTGGAGATGCACAGACTCCAAGAGAATGCATCTGGATAGGCCTGGGGGAGTGGGAGGGGCTCATGGAATCCATGATGCCTCAGTTGAAGCCCAAGATGTGGATAAGATGGACTTCRCCTGGTGGACTGTATCCCAGGTAGAGGGAAGAGCAGGTGCACATGCTCGTGGGAGAAAGAACTTGGGCTTAACCAACTCTACCTGCTTTCCTTCCCTTTCCTAACTTGATCATCCATCACTRTCAATAGTCTCCCATTTCCAGGCCCCACCTTCCTCTGGGGATGAAGATTGGGGGATTCCTAATTTCCGTGGCCACAAGTGTCCAGAAGTAGCACTCACAGATAGGGCCATGCCTTTCTATGTATTATTATTTTTAATAAACTTTTCATTGAAATATAATTAAAATTATATATTATAATAATGAAAATTGTTTAAAAATGTTATGGCATTTTGTATGAATGAATAGATAATACACATAATAGATAATGTACATGTTTAAAACATATAGGGTCAGAAGAGTTATGTAATGAAACTTCTCTCTCTGTCCCCTGTCCCCCAGCCCCACAGGCCACCAGTCTTACCAGCTTCTAGTGTATTTGTCCAGAGATATTCTATGCATATACAAGCAAATCAGAGATAGATTATTTCTGCAATTTAACAAAGGCTTATTATACACCTGTTCTGCACCCTGCATTTTTTAATCTAACAATATATTTGGGGACAATCCCATAACCATCCGAAGGAGCTGTGTAATTGTTGGTTTTCTGGCTACATCATGAGAGTAACTAACTAGATCTATGTAGATGGGCATTTCAATTGTTTCTTTTTTGTTGTTACTAACACTGCATTGTGTAATTTGCGTATAACCTTGTATAATTTGCAAGTTCAGGTATGTCTAGGATAAAGTCTCCAAGGTGGGATTGCTGGGACGGAGGGTATGTGCATTTGTAATTTTGATAGACGTTGTCACATGCCCTGCAGAGAGTTGGGTACCTGTTTTCCCTTCAACCAGCTGTGTCAGAAAATGACCAGGCAAGACCCCTGACACCTCCTCCGTTCGATCTACAGGGGTGTCTGAGGAAGAGCTGCCATTGGATGAGCCATTCCTGTGGCCAAACCCTTCATCTTTTGTTTCCTCAACTTGCATCGGGAGTGATGTTTAGAGTACACATTCTTAGGCCTCCTACCAGACTTGCTGAATCAGAATCTTTCTTGGCACTTGCATTAGACTTCCCAGGCAACTCTTATGATTAAGGCAAGCCTGGTATGTGCTGATTCACACAATCCCATTTAATTCAACTTGCTTTTTTTCTCCCCCTTTGGAGCCATTATTCCCATTTAAGAGATGAACAGATAGARCTTCTGAGTTAAGAGGTCCCAAGAGACTCGGGGCTGGGCACATGCTTCCGCTCTCATGTGTGCCCCACCTTGTGTTTGATTTCAGGAGCATCTATTGCCTTGGGTCTTTGGCTTGGAGGCCCCCTGCTGCTTCTAATGACTGATCTCCTGTGATGAGTGGCCTGAGCGCTTCCYGTTGCTGTCCCAAGGAGCTGGCCAAGGCCTGTAGAGACAGAGGATGCTTCAGACTGTAGGAGACCCTCAGCTGGAYTCAGCACCTCAACTAGGGCAAGGAGACCCTGGACCCTTGACATTTAAAAGGGGGGAAAAATTTAAAAATGATCCTGTGAATTTTAAGGCATCCAGCCTCTCTAGAAGGGTGCCCTTCTATGCCCAGTTTAACCTGTTTTTTTTTTTTTCCTGGCTTTTGAGACAGAACTGGGGAGGGGAGGGTGTCCTGTTTACAGCATGAAAACTTTACAGCCCTCCCTCCCTCCAGAGAGAGAAGGGATGGGGAGATRGGTGCAGGAAGAGGAACTCTTTTTAACCAGTGCCTGATCTGGCTTCTCCTCCAGCTTAATTTCACTTTCTTGGAGCTACAGACTGCATCGGATTTCTCCTTCTCCGATGCTTAGCAGAACTGAAATAAATGAATCCCTCAACAGAAGCCAATATTCCTGCCTGATTGCTGGGACTAATTGATGTTTTGGTGGGCATTGCATTGCTTGGAAATTAAAACATTTAACATGGCYCAACGTTAAATCAATTTTTAAATACATTTTCCAGATGCCTTCTATTTCCTCGGGTATCAGCTGGATGGATGACTGTGGAGTTATCAGTTAAACTTTTAAAATATTCTTCTTTCTTTTTTTTTTTTTTTTTTAAGTGGAGATGGTGTCCTGGTATTGAGTTGCTCTGAGCTTCAGAGAATGGTTTGAAAAAAAAATTTGGGTAAGTCAGTTGCTAATGTGATTCTGGCACAGCCCAGCAAACTCAGCCCCCTGGTCCTATCCTTCTGGGAAGAAGTTACTTCTGGAAATTGCTAGGATGCCCTTGGTCTTGGATTCAGGAAGTCGGAGCTTGAGAAAGGGGGCCAACCATGGTGTATCCCACCCACCAGGGGCTACACCTTCTGGGGGTAGCAATYAAATCTGCCTGGCACGGCATCCCCCTGGTGGTAAGTTAGGTGTCTTGGGTTCTTTTAGTTATATATCCACAGGAGACATCTCATCTAGAGAAGGGAAATCTGTGAATTTCCAAAAATCTGTGGTGTTCCATGAGGTGARTAGATTTTTTAATGAATCAGCATTGGTAGGTGTAGTAGAGACTGGTGGGTTTGGGGAGATGTCACCCGTGGTCATTATAGAAAATGAAAAGACTGTGGAGTGGAAGGGGTGGCCCTGCAGGGACCACAGAGGGTCCGATTTGCTTTTATTTTCATCCTGGCAGGGAAGTGGCAGCAAATGTTGCTTCCCAAGCACAGGTCATTTATCTGGTTCCAAACAATAGCAGTCCCCGGTTCTTCTGGGCTGGACCAGCTGCTCGGAGAAGGTTGCTGAATGAGCATGCGCCATGCAGCGTCCCAGAAGAAAGGTCATGTGTGTTCCCACTTTCTGYGGCCTTGGATTATCCTGGACAACCAAAGGCACACAATAGCAAAGACAACTCTCCTTTGAATCAGACTTCACACTGATAGCACCATGGCTTTTGTATCTCATGTTCTCTTTTGATCACTTGTGTCTGATCCACTTCCTGGTCATTCCTCCCATCTGGAATAATAGCAATGGCTCCCATAACAGAGGGCCAACTGTGCTAGACTGCTCTCAGGGCTATGCCTGTCCTCTTAGCTCCTTTCGTCATCATTAAGACCCTGCCAGGTAGGTGCTGCGACAGTTCCCCTTTTCCAGATGAGGAGACTGAGCCCTAGAGAAGGAGACTGGATTAGGAACTCTCTCGCTCCTTGGCCTCCCACATAGTGGGGACCTGAATCCTGACTTCTTTATCTCTGAGCTGTGCTGCCTCCTGAGCTGGTACCTTTAACTTCCCTAATAAGTCAGATCAGAGAGAGATTCTGTAAATCCCTTCACCACCTCCTCTGGCGGGAGGCCAGCTTGCCTCACAGCACATATAATTGGTGATCGCCTCAGGCAGGAAGACAAATCTAGCTCATGCCCTGCAGGACCCCCAGGGTCTCAGGTTGAAATGCTCAGTCCCTTCCTTCAGGAAAGTGGCAGGTCCTACTGGTAGGTGCTGTAATGTTCACCTTTCAATGTCAGCCTGCCAGATGGGTTCCCAGCCTCTGTCATTGGCAGCTTCACTAGCTGGGTGCAGGGATCAAGGACACTTGCAGGCAGGTTACAGTGTGCTGCTGTTCAGAGTTCTGATAGGACAGGACCTCTGGCCATCTGGGCTATTAAACATGGTGGATAATGCCCCAGCTGGGTCCTTTTGTAGAAGCCCCACCTTTAGGCCCACAATGGATGCTGAGCCTGGCTTGCTGGGGGCTGGCAATCCTCCCACAACCCCAGCCTGCCACTCAGTGAAGTACAACTTCAGTTATTCGCTGTAGTCCTGGTATCCAGAGTTGTAGCCACCATTGCTGGTGATGCTCTGGACTGCCAAAGAAGAGGTTGCTGGATTCTTGTGTGCGCTGTGTTTACCTGGCTGAACTGAAGAGATGCTGCCATGGAAGAGAGTTATAATTTATGTGAAATATTTGGTCTTTCTTGGACCTTCACTTTGCCTACCTTTGCCTTTTTTTCTTTTTTCCCTAGGGCAATCCCAGGGTTGCTCTACTATTGAACTAAGTCCCCAGCCCTTTTAATTTTTTTCTTTTGAGATAGGATCTCACTTAGTTGCGTAGCCTGGCCTTGAACTTTTGATCCTCCTATCTCAGCCTCCTAARTCACTGGGATTAAGGTGGTCCACCATGCTTGGATCCAGCCTAGCATCTTGGGGGGCTTTTAAAAACATCTATATTGGGGCTGGGGTTGTGGCTCAGTGGTAGAGTGCTTGTCTAGCATGCATGAGACACTGGGTTTGATCCTCAGCACCACATAAAAAAGTAAAATAAAAATATGGTGTCCACCTAAATATTAAAATAAATAATTATTAGAAAAAATATTTTAAAATAAATATTAACCCCCCCAAACCCCAAAACCAAAGCATTTATATCATCTTCCTCCCATCTCATATTTATGGGATGTGTGTGCCGAGACTTAAGCCTTGCAGAGTTCCCAGTCTACCCAGTATCCAGCTGGGACATCTGCAAAGCACGTGTCCTGCAGTGGTCCTGAAGTGAGTTCCCTCTCTACAAATCCATTTAGCATGTCCAATGATCCAGAGATTCTTCCGTCCCTACAGGCAATTCATTTTATACTTCTTCAGTGCCCCAGTTACTGATGATTTTTAGAAAAGGCTGTGGGCTCGTCTGATCCATGGGGATATCTGCGGAGTTGATCCATGGGGACACCAGCAAGTGAAGTCCTTATTTGCCTTCACTTCTTTCTTGGCCTTTTAAGAGGCAGACTAAATAGATGCTGATGGAAAATGGAGGGAGGAAATGGTGGGGACTGTACATTCCTGGGAGAACCCTGGGCCTGTGAAATTTCCTCCAGTCTCTTACACCCTCCAGCACATGCCTGTGTATRGTGGGCCAGGTGATTGTTTCCAACAATACTGCTTACCCCCTTTATTAGGATTATACCTAATAATCCAAGCCATGGGAATTTGTAGTACATCTYGGTAGGGAGAGTCTGTTTCCTTACTCTGCTAAATTTCAGCTTTGGTCATTAGAATGTGAGTAGACATGTCATGACCTGGAAGTTTTAAATGTGCTTGCATGATGTAGCTTCACCTTGGGAAGTAATTTCTTTTTCAYGTGAAGGGACTATGGGTAGACCTGAACTTGACTGAGATCTTAAAGCCAAGCTGAACTCAGCTGGGTTCTGCTGAAGACTTGAAGATTCATGAGCAAGAAATAAATACTTGTTATGGAAATCCACTGAAATTTCGGGATTGTTACTGTAGCAAATGCTGACTTATACATCATATTGTCCACACGCCTTCCTCGCTCAGTTCTGGTCCTGTTCCATGGCCTCCAAAGAGTGCCATGCTACTTGGCAGCTGATAGTGTCCTGCTCCTGCCTATTCCCCATCTCCAGGAGTCATGGAAACCAGGTACCAGAGCAGAGCTGGCAGTCAGAGCTCATGCTTATAACATGGTTGTTCCACCTACTTTGCCACATGGTACCTTTGTAGCTAATGATTCACTGACTGCTTCATCTGGGCAGGGAATGTTCCAGTAATAATTCCCTCCAACTCTTCATCTTAGMTGTACCTCTAGTGTAGTCAAGACCCTTTCATCCAGAGTTTCCCAGGATTTTCTGGTTAAGGAACAGCACATGGAATATGCATTGGGCCATCCTTTGGGAAGAATATTCCAGTTCAAGGAGTGATCTGGCTCTCTCTCTGGATATGGTCACCTCCTCCACTCATGTTGGAAGGCCCATAGAAGTGACTGAGGTTGACAAGTCTGTTCTTCTGGGAATCTGCCCCGTCCTCATTAACTCTTTGCCATATTACACCCACAGAAACCCCACTCTCCACCAGGCTCTTCTATGACCTTCCCTGGCATCCTGGGTCAGGCAGCCTGAGACACTGATGGGCAGCCTGGTGGATTCCCACTGGTGCCCAATCCAGCTCCAGGATCTGTCACACCAGGAAGGGTTTGGCATTGGAGGAGTGGAAGTGACAACTCACCAGTACGTATCTCACCCGGATGTAATCTGTGGGCAGGAGCCTTATCTGTCTCGTTCACTGCCATGTTCCCACTGCACYGTGGTCTAGGTCTTGGTTGATGTTTACTACATAGTTTTTGAAATGTTTGAGTGAATCCACTTCTTCTCTTGCCCAAAACTGAACTCAGTAGGAATTTCAATAGGCACAGTTCRGAAAACTTCGGCTCCACTCCAGGAGAAGGGAGGCACGGGATTGGAAGATTGCCATTTAATGAAAAATTATGGAAAACTGACTTTTCTGTTGGCCTGTGGTAGGTGCTACAGATAGAGCAGGACACAAAGCCCTGACTTCAAAGAGCTTGCACTCTCCTGGGGGCAGGAGAGGCAGACAATAAACACATGTCCATGTCAGACAGTAACCGGCACTAGGGGGCA